ACACTCAGTACACCTGGTTCCAGTTTCACAACCAGTAGCTTCACTGCCAGCACTGGTCCTGCAGGTAGCCGAGTCTGTCAGCCACTTGCTAGGTTTGGAGACGCAGAGGCTACACAGCACAAAACTGCCAAGTGGGAACTGCTGTTTATTTGCCAATGGAGTTGGAAACAAGCTGCCTAATGCTGGTGCCCGTCATCCTCCCTGTTCTTTCCCCCTCTCTCCTTCAAGGAAAGCTCAGCGCTGGTGGGCTGAACAGACACAAGCCTCCCCGCAGGCTTCCTGCCGTCTGGTCGGGCTCAGCACGCTTAGTGAAAGAAGAGCCTGAGTGCCGACTAGGGGAGATTTCTTCCGCTGCCCTTTAACTAAACCTTTAATAAAATAGCCCATTTTAGTTTTTGTTGTAAAGCCTGTCTCCAGGATTTCTATATTGTGAAATCTTCCTGAAATTCACCCTGGACTACCACTGGGCATACAGCCTCAGCTCAGCATGTGGAGCGTCTAGATACCAACCACGCCAGTATACTACACTACACCCTCTGGAAATGACACCGGGGGAAATTGCAGCTGGTGAAAGCAGTGGATGGATTTCTCAGTCATAAAATTCCCTACAAATGCATCGGTGTCCTGCTGTTCCTAATGGTGAACTAATTTAAATTCTGGCTAATGGCCTGAGGTCATAGAAAATGTAGTTAACATTTGATTTGCATAAAACTGAAAGAAAAACACATTTTCCTAAATGCACAATTGAAACCAAAGGTCCCTGGTCCCATGCAGCTCTTGGCCTGGTGTATAGTACCAACCTCACCACAGCACATCACTAAACTGAGCAAACATTAGCCTCTTTCTGTCCATCAAATTATGTAAAGCACATTTTAATCGCTTTATCAAAAGTTATTTATATGCAGAGGCTTTCAAATGTATTCAATTTAATAAAACTTTACATTACCCAAAATTGTTGTAGCTCATGAAAAGTGGCAGTAGAGTCTTTGCACACACAGCTCAGTTTAACTCCAGTAAGTTTGGGATATAATGGAGAGTAGAAAGGTGAGACTTGATACCCGTAGTCAGTGCAGGGCTACTCTCCTGTACTACTCTACCTTGCCTGCACCATAGTGTCACTCAATTTGCATAAATTCATTAATGAATGACACAAAAACTCCCTGCTCTTAAAATAACAATGGAACTGCAAAAGACGTACAAATTGCTCTCAGGGGGCACAAAGGATGAACTCTTGACGAACTGTCATGAAGCGAGGACGGTGCATCTCTGGAACAGAGCATCACAGCACGGCATTAATCACGTTACACGTTCAGATGTATAAATGACAGCTGTGAACATAAAGATGTGAGCAGTGGCCATCATTATAAATCCGGTTCATTACTTTCAGAGGGAATGGCGGACGTTATCACTGAGTGTTAATGAAGACACACTCGATTAACTCTAACGGGCATTTAGATCTAAAAAGCTCAAACAAAATCTATAAAGTCAGTCTTCATCTGAGCGACAGCAGAGCTCCAGGTTCTGGCCTCTGACCGGACCACAGATCAGAGGCCAGGCTCTGAAGCCCAGCTTGACAGGAGGTATGGTCACGTTCACACACGTTGATTAAAAATCTCTAAGATCAATGGAGCATCTTGCAAATTCTGTTTTAATGAATTACATAGCAAACCTACATCCTACAAGTGATATTCATAGCTCCTGTGCTGGTTTAAATATGTACATATTTGGCTGCTGTAACGACAGCAGGAACCACATGGAGCGAAAACACGGCTCAGGAAAAAAATTTACATATTTTTCTTAGTGATGCAAAGAATTTGCCAGTTTTATTTCTTTGTCTATAACTTCACAACAACAACTACAACAACAACCTTCACAAAAAGCAAAAATCTGATCTACAATTGTGCAAGTGAAGCTCACATTACAAAGCCTGGCTGATGCAAATGACAACAGAGACAAATACAGCCAGCTATTTCAGAATAACTGACTTACATACAGTAAGAAAGAGCTGAGAGGCTGTTGTTCGCTTTATAAATCCCTACAGATAACAGCAGCTTCTCCTGAGAGATGAGACATGAACAAAAACACATCAGCTGACTGATGCCACACCGCCGGCCATGTGACAGCACGGCCCGCCGCTGCAAGCTTTTTAATGGCCCCGGACAAATGCGGTAAATTGCCTCTTTAAATATTGTGAAGCAGAAGTGTTGAATGTGCAGAATGAGGAGGCTGTGTGAGCTGCACCGGGGAAGAGGAATCAGTGGGAGACATAGAGGTGTCGCTAATGACGGCTGACAGACAGGTAAGGCTGTTTCTCACGGTGTCTGATGAAAACCTTGTATGTCCAGATTGTCTTTCAGATAAATAACTTCCTGCACAAAGATTGCAATCTGAAAATGTTTGGTGTTTGAGACTGTATATCCAAAGGTTTTCAAAACATATCTGTATACAGCTGGATGGATAAGAGCCTCAGTGTTCTGGGGATATAAGAACCATGTTTATAGTTCTGAATTAACCTTCGTATTGTCTTCCTGTCGACCAAAATTGACCCGATCTGATCCACAATTCAATAAAAATAGTGATCATTAATTACTTTTGCAAAAAGTGTAGTAAGTAACCATCAGTGTTATTTTCAGGCAATCATGTGAAAGAAAACCATATTTCTCATATAAAAACATTTGAAGACAACCGGAGGGTTAAAAAGGCACATGTTCATGGCTTTTGTTACCCTATTGTTTTTATTTCTCTTATTTTAATTTGAGGTTTCCAGTTTTGGCACGCCAGTTCCCATCCTGATTTGTGGGACTTAAGCAGAAGTGTAAGGTTGCCGTTGTGTCAGTAGATCCCCGAGTCCCGTGTTCTAGTCTTACATAGTTTCGATTTTGGCCAGTCTGCAGTATACAAAACTAATCTACATTAGTTACTACCAATCCCTGTTTGTACCCATAGTTGTACAGACACGATTTCATTGATCATTTTTAAAGGAAACATCTACAGTTGGTGATTTTGTGGTAGGATCTAATGTTACAAGGAAGTTCTTTTTATAGGGTTTCTTGGTGGATTATGGAAACTTTTCCTGGACATCACAGATATCCCTGGAAAGAGTCATGTGTGAGGATCCCAGCAGTATCAGTATTCCGGTTTGTAATCCATTTTGGTTTCACCACTCAACATGTAGTGGATAGTACATCCTAATTAAGTAATTACAGGGCTAACAGGCTATAGTCGGTGTTTAGTTGACCTCATGGGGACCCTCTACCCAAAAGCCATTTCTTATTCACCAAACAACGTGAACTGATGAAACGGGCAATGAGAAATTCATACATTGCAAATATCTCCATGCATATTAAAACTCCACCCTGACAGAGTATCTGGCGATTACTGTGTGCTGTGCAGCCAATTTTCCAGGCGGCAGCTTAATGTTGCATCAATGGATTAATATTTTGTAGGTCTAGTTCGTTTGCTGCCTGTGAGGCTGCCACTGCTGACTCTGGCAGACTGTTATTGATCAGGTTTGTGTTCTACAGGCCCGGGTGATTATTCTCAGACAGAGTCCAAAACAAAAGGTTCATAAACACAGGCTCAGCTATAGCACAGACCTGAAGTCAGACAGAGAAGCCAGCAAACCACGAATGCTCCAGGTGAGATAAACTACATGGAGAATAATGCATCACTGTGCTTTGCTGGCTCAACTGAGGAGGACGCTGCTGATTCTGTAGCACTGTATTGTTTCTCAAAGCATTACTGACTATAAAACTGACTAGGCGACGTGAAACAGCATCTGTCCTTCATGACTTGATATACTAGTGGCTCTCCGGTACACCACATCAAACACAGATCTGTTAAGTAACCAGAAATGTTTTCTGAAAAACGAAGCTCTGTATGGGTTTGGGATTCATCAGCGTGTACAGGCTTGTTGCCCAAAATAGTCATTTTTACGCAGTGGCTCCCGCTGCGTGACCGTCTGATCCACCTTAAAATCACATGACTGACTGTGCCTCTCCTTTATGTTTTTCACTACATACAGTCAATGATCTTCTCAATGTCCTCAACATATCTGTTTTCTACTGCTGTCAATGTTGTTCTTTAACTTTTGGTAACTGTTTAACTGGCTTCTGGTTCTCCATCCGCCTCAAGCTGGCATGAAGCGGAACTAAACATAAAGCTGCAATGAGTTTATTATCATTTGTATGCAGCACCATATTCCAGGTGAAACTATTTCAGTCTAACTTTGTTGTCGTCTTTCGCTATAGAGCAGCTCTTAGTGTGACTGCTTGAAAATAAATCAACTGAAAAGTGGTTAAAAAGCTGGTTTTACCACAGAGCACATTAAATAAATGATTCATCCTGAAACCAGTCTTCAAATATGTTTTTCAGGGTACTATAACAGCAGACTGTAGATGTTTAAATATCACCTGCTCGTCTTAATTTGATGTAAATTGATGTCAGTGATTATGGAGGTAGGAATGCAGATCCTTTAAAGGTTCCATATATGTGAAGTATAAAGGTAGATGTCCATGTGTTGTTTGATGATAAAGCAGGTCTAGGTTCTATATTAATACTGTGAAAGTATCAAATCGCTCAGTCCAAATAGAAAACGCACACAGCCTGTATTCAGAAACTGAGCCTCAAAACCAGCCGTCAGGACTTCTGGAACAAAGCAGTCACTGACCCAAGCCCCGCCCACCTGGACCCACCATCCAGTCTTGCAGGATTTGGTTTCTCTGAGTGTTTACCTGGAATCTGCTATATCTTTATTGGATCACTCAGTAAACAGTCAGCCAATCAGAAAAGAGGTTAAGAGCCTTCTCTCCTCTGACTGGCTCACTGTCCTGTTGTTACTAGAGCTCCAGAGAGAAGCCTGAGAGAGGAGATGTAAAACTACATTGAGATGGTTTTAGTATAAAAAAACCACAAATATATCTTCTTATGGATCAACACAAATAAAACTCAGGAAAATGGACATTAAGAAAGAAGCCAGACAGTTTACTGAGGAGCCTTACCGTCAAGCTCCTCCACGGAGATGCTGGCCAGCACGTCGCTGTCACTGTCTGACAGCGAGCGGCTCAGGTAGTTCCCCTTGTAGAGCAGGCCTGCCGTCACATGGTGGAACGGCATCTTCTCCCTGAGAGACACCAGAGGGAAACATTTAGACAGCAGTGCAGGCAGGGAAGAGGAGCTGAGGAGGAGATTTCTCTCTTGGGGCTTTTTGGAAGATTAATTCTGAACACAAACACCAATTAAAAGCTTCACACATTACACATGTTTCTGAACAATGTTTATCAACAGGGGGAACTCCCATGTGCAATATTTCATGGTCATTGGATTCAAATTAGCCACTAAAACACACAAAATAAAGTTAAATTGACCTGTGAGGAGCAGAAACCCGCTTTTTCAAACAAACTTAAAACTAAATCAAGAGAAAAGCAACATGAAATGTGAACCCATAATCAGCTACAGGGAGCTGCTCTGCCCATTTGTGATATTGGTGAAGCTAAAACAAATTAACGTCCAAGGGCCACAGCATAAACGAGCTCCATAAAAGAGGCAGGACTCATTCACTAAGTGGGAAGTCACACAGTGAGGGAGACTCATATAACTAGAGGTAAATGTAGTGGAAGTGTGTGTATGTGTGGCTGTGTGAGAGCTTGCGCATGTATACTGTATGTGCAAATGTGACTGAGGCAATTAATTATTCAATAAATTGAAGCCCAAGGGCACAGGAGGAAAATAAGAGCATAGCGAGGAGAGAGATTTGGGGCGACTACTTCCTTCTCTCTAATTGGATTTCGTCTGGATGAGCACTTTGAGAAGATGCTTCTGAGACAGAGCGAGGAGTTCAAAAATGGGCTGAGATATTACACAGAGAGTGACACAGAGCGCTGAACTTCTCTGAAGCGCTGGGCTTCTGGATGTGTTTGTCTCTTTCATCAGTTGAAGTTTACACCATGTTTCTGCAGAGGCGAGTAAGCCACACAATTACAAAAGCTTTGGTAATAAAAAAAAAACATGCAACATTTAACATGAGTTTAAAAGGGAAACATGCTCTTTGGAAAACTACGACAGTATGGATGTACAGCAGTTCTGTTCTTTGGGTTTTTAAGCAGCATCACACACGCAGGCTGTTGTTCTAGGTCGCTAACCAAATGAACAAATCTGAGCTCTCCTGAGCTGAATGAGTCTAATTTTTCAGCTTGTTATGTTGCTGGTTTCGTCCAATCCATCTCTTTTGAAAAGATGACATACTGCACATTCATCATATTCCTCTGCAATAAGGCATACTTAATGTACAATCGATGTTTTATTAATGTTATTCATCCTTTATCAGTAAGAAAACATTTTAAGAACAATCTTTTAGCTGAGAGCAAAAAAATACTTTAGGTAGCTCTTAAAGTGGCTATTTGTAAGTTTTCTCTGCCTCCAAATGTGGTTTCTTGCCGGTGTCGTGGTGATTGTCACTTAACAAAAGCTTTAGCCATTGTTGTCTTTATAAGACAAGAGGTTATAATAAAAAAGGAATGAAGTTTGATGCTGAGCTCACAACGTTTCTTCTAGACTGGTGAGTAAATAGCTGTTAATGCTAATGTTGTCTATGTAGCGATAGCAAAAACTTACAGATAGCTCAATTAATGTCACCCTGAAGGATGGAAGTAAGTTTATAGCACTGTTCTAGCACAAAAGCTGTTTTTGCCATAAAAGGAAAGTAACAGCGATAGCATACAAACACATTAAGACTGCTTGAACAGGCAATTTAGCCCTTTAGCCTTTTATAAACTGAGAAACTCATGATCTTTCTAATTCACTTCAGTCACTTTCTAATTGGCAATTAAGTTTTCTTATTAAAGATGTATTACTGAAATACAAAGCAATACTAAAATATACATCAGTTGTGAATAAAGCAGATATGAATAGCCAAGACACACATACATTTCAGATCAGCTTCTTATACAAGACTGGCACGAGTTGCACATTATACCCGAGTTCAAAAAAGATAAAGATGGACGAGAGGATGGAGAGAGAACACATTTCAATGTGTTTAAACCAGAAGCAAAAGGAACTGTGATTTTTAGAATTTCCTCATCAAATAAAGTGATTCGGAATATCAATACAGTAATTGTTAAAAGTTGTTTTGCTACCATTAACCCCATTTGAAGTTTTGTTTTTCTACCATGTTCGGCACCTGCCAGAGCCAATCCTTCACTGGTTGGAGCTGCCAGCCATCCATTGCCTCACAAATTGAAAACTGGTCCCTGCATCTTTCTTGTTTGTCAGTTTAATAAGCATGCATATTAAGACGTCTGCAGCTCTGCATAAAGCCCTCTTTACGACCAGCTTTCTTCACACGTAACGTCAGGATTTTTCACTTCCTAATTCATCAATTATTCAGTCATCTCTCAGCTGTCATTATGAATATTACAATCATTCCTCTTGTCTGCGTTTTCCCGTACTCTCGGTGCGAGGAAACCCATTTATTACGCAGGTGTATACTATCCTTAGTCTGCGCTGCTGCTGCGGCCAACATGAAGAAATATTGATCAGAATGATTAACCATGCATGCATTTCATTACAATGACTCTGCAGTCAGTAATGAACTGTGAAAACGCGAATGAGTCGTGGAGACAAAAAAAGGCTGTAATCTTATGCAGCTCAAGATTTTGGCTTTACAATGGCAAGAGTCAGCTGCGTGTGTGTTTTATGTGTTCTGTGTGTGTGCGCTCTCTGAGCATGGAGGGCAATCATGGCTTCCATTGTGAGTTTTCTCACATCCCTGACACCTTCAGCTCTGCACTCTCAAGTAATCTGTTTATCCGGCTGAAAGCTCATACTAAGAGAGGGCTGACCTGCCTTTTAGCAACAACATTTTGCTAATGTTGTTGATCACTACTGTTCAATCCCAAGATTAATACCCTTACCTGAAATCACCTGTCATCCTATTAACCAACCCCCAGGAAGTTATATAACCCCACCCTTCTGGTCTGCAAAGCCATTTCCCTCCAAACCCCCGAGAACAAAGAGAACCACTGTGATTTGATGAAGAATGGACTTTTTAAACCTTATGTTATTTTATCCATGTTAATATTATAGCAGTTCTTTGGTTAGCATTTTATTGTTGTGTGGCTTTTGAATGTTTATTTGTGAACACTGCATTAGATTCCTACCTGAAGGTGGAGAAAATACAGAGACATTGGATGCATAATGAAGTAAGTGGAAGTAATGTCAGCTGGATTTCCTTTATCTATTTTATTATTGTTAGTGCCAACATTTTTAATTGATATGTGATTTTACTTATTTTGTCTTTATGTATTTTGACCTCTCTCATGTACAGAAAGAAGCATCCACCCATCCATTCATCCATCTAACCATCTACCTAAGTGTCTTCAATTGTGACAAGTAAAATTTCTGGAACTGCTTCTGGATCCTGTGTTTAAATGTGCACATGTCCTCATTAGATGTTCAGCGAGCCAACGCCACCGCCCTGAGTGTAGTTTTTACCACACCGAGATAAGTCTGAGATGTAGCGGAGGAAACAAAGTCTCCGTCTGGAAACAGAGGTGGAGAGTCGTAAAGTATTTTCAGCACCTTATAAGTACTTTTCACATTTCAGAGGGAAATGTTGGGTTGTTACTTAGCTACATTTATCTGACGGCTGCCGTTTACCAGCTCCTTTACAATTAATGTGGTTTTACAAGCGGATGGGCTTAATAAAATGTGACGGATTGTTGGAGTTTAAACACCTGCAACAATATTGAGAATCATGTTGAAACAATAAACTGACTGAAAATTACACAACGGCAAATCATTGAGGTAGTTAAGTAGACAATTTCCCCACAAGCTCCATTTAGGAGCTGTTCTGTTCTAAATGGAGCTCGTGATGACCCCGTCTTCTCAGCTGTTAAAACTCAATCATTTAAGTTATTTATCAAGCCTGTATTCCCGCTAACAGCTTCTCAAATGTGACAGTTTTCCGCTTTTCTCAGCTTAAGACCGTTGTAATTTGAATATCTTTGGGTTTTGGACTGTTGATTTGGCTCACAAGCAATTCCAATATATAATCGACACATTAAAGCAGAGCGCTGAAGCCGCATTTATAGTGGCTGATCGGCGTCAAGTGTTTCATATAAGCTTCACAATCATTCATTCGCAGCTGTGTCGATAGTAAATCCAGTTATATTCATGCAGGTGTACGGCAGATGTATTTATTAAAAGGGGGGGGGTGGGGGGGTTAGTTCTCCCAGGAGAATCCTCATGGCTGTTCAGACGGTTTGAGAACTGCCTCAAAGTGCAGAGCTTCTTCCCACCAAGTCTAACTCTGTATCCAATGGCTGCTCTGGAGCTTTGACAGCCACACAGGGCTCTGCAAGGATGACCTGACTTCTGAGCCTCCATGACACAAAGACATCCTCTGCATCACTGAACAAGACCAATTAAATGTACCGACATGTTTACACTGAGGAGCACGAAATCTGACACCACTGACAAACAAACAAAAGATTTAGACATGTCGAAGCACACATGAAGAGGGGACACAAGTTTTGCTGCATTATTTTACTATGGTATATCACGAGGACATTATGTTTATCAATGCAGACGATGAAGAGTGAGATAATGTGCTGAGACAGTAAAACACCTGATCTTCAACCCCTCAGGAAGACGGTGTGGAACAGAGCTGTTCAGAGCCTTCACAATCATTACACTTGATTAAATTGATCAAGGTCTCAGCTGAACAAGCTAATGTGCCCTTCAGGAGCAGAGCAAAGTACAGTAATCACTTAAATCACCAAGTGATCACCGCAGCCTCAACCAAGCCCACATCTGTCTTTTTTCTGCCTTTTTTTTCCCTTCATCAAATAGTTATTCCTCCGCAATACCGTGATATATCAGTTCAATAGAAAAGAGGCGAGGATTCTGGGATTTAATACTCAGATTGAGCAGCTGATAAAAATGAGCCATAGAAATGACTTAAAGATAAAATCAATGGATGGCACCTCGACATTTTACTGAGCAGGCTGCTTTGGCAAATTCTGAATCTCCAACTCTCTGAGGAAACACAACGATGCTTTTTAACCACTTACACTACTATAATTAACAGTTATTTCCACTGTCGATTAATCTAATCATAGATCAATTGATTGTTTAATCTATAAAATATTATCAAATGGTGACAAAAATGTCCATCCAGACGAACAAAGAGCAACTTAGTGTGTAAAATCCCACAGGAACGTGAGAGTAACAGCAGATGAAACCTGCCCTTGTTTAATGGGATAGTAACTCATATTTTACATCACGTTGATGCCATTAGCTGATGCTGTTGTCCAAAGTGACTTTCAGAGAGTGAGTGAGTCTGGAGGTAGTGTCCGGCTCAAGGACATGTTGAACCGACAAGACACATGGCTGTTGACGGCTGCACTAGCAGAGATTGGACCTGTGGCATTTAATTGCAGGGACAACCTGTCACTCCGCTGTTTCCTGAGCTCCAAAGTTAAGCCCAAATGTGATTCCACACTATGATCAACCCCGTCACCGGTCTGTTCATTTCTCAGAGCTGAGTTACTGAGTCACGGTTCAGTTTGATGACTCAGAAAAAGGTCAGGATTCTGTAATAATTTGATTTCAGCAACAACCACAAACAGAAAATAAACAAATAGGTGATTACAGACTTTGAAGTCTTCCTGTTTTCCTCCACTTTTGCCTCCAAATATACCGATCCACCTGAGTAACACTGACAGTGTGGACAAGAGTCACACGTCAAACAATAAAGGAAGAAAAGGCTCTACACATTATCAGCAACATCATTTTTAACCTGAACAAGATTTCTGTACAGAAATGGTCTGATAAATAACAATACCTGAACACTTTACTGTTCCTGAAAAAAAAAAGCTCAATGTTTAAAAGCTCATCTTTCTTTATTTAATGGATTGCAGTGAATAAAGTAGCTGTAGGCCTCGGCCAGCCAGTCAGGTTGCAGTTTACATCCATGTCTGTCCAGACACATGTAACAGTCGTAGTAAAGACTCTGAAGGAATTTTACAAAAAGGTATTAAGTGTATTTTATCAATATTAGCTTTATGAATCCTCAAGTTATGTGAGGTCTTGATGTGACCTTGACCTTTGACCTCTGACCACCAAATTCAAATCAGTTTTTCCTTGAGTCCAGGTGAAAATTTGTTTCAAATTTAAAGAGATTCCCTCAAGGCGTTCCAGAGACATCACGCTCACCAGAATGAAACGGGGCCCAACCTGAAAACATAATGTCTCCGGCCTCGCCTGTCACCAGCACGGAGGCATGACACCGCTGCACGCGGGACAGCTGCAGACATCGCTGGATCTCACGTTTAAATTCTGATGATGTTCTACAATCAGTCAGAACAGAAAAGTCGAAGGAGCATTCAGAGCGTATACATTCTTGTTTTCTTTCAAAGTATATTTCCAGCCGCCCACAATAAAAGCTATTTCAAAGCAGCCTGACAGTAGACAAACTATTACTGCATCATTATTGTCCTTTTAAGTCTTTCCACTGTTGTTAAGAATGGGTCGCAGCAGAACTGAACCCAATTACAGCACAGACATAAATAAAACCACCTCCACTAAACCTGCGTGCATGCCTTACAGGGAGAGCACTTCTTGTACTGACACTTGAAGGAAAAGACAAAGATGACATGACTAATCAAAACACTTTGACCCTGAAGGAAGAAGCAGTGAGTCGCAAATTACACTGTTGCCATTAAAGCGCCGTATGTCCCCAAAGAACTGGTGGGAAGAGTTGATGAACTCATTCCTCTCTGCAAACTCACCGGAGGTTAGTGTCACACCTTAACATGCAACATGGAGGCGTGGTTAAGAGATCAGGGTCAGGACACTGAGATGTAGAAAAGAATCAATTTAATCTGATTTTTCTTTCTTAAATAATTTTTTTTAGTCAATAAAATGGCAAAGACAAACAAAATGTTAAAAAAAAAAAATGCAATAGCTTTAACAATTGAAAATAACATCTTCAAATAGCTTGTTTGTCCAAAAAAAAAAAAATTCCAGTGATACAAAACAGAAAAAAAACAATTAATTCTCTCATTTAAGAACCTGGAAACTGAAAATGATTGTTGTTGTTTTGACCTGATAAATGACTTAAATAATGACTTTACTAAATTGTCTGTAAGTGTATCTAATTTATCTCTGATTGGTTGTCTTGTTTCAAACATGCTGCACTTCCCTATAAAAGGTGGCCTTCATGTCCTGAGCGTCTGAAGCTGTCCAAAAAAAACACAATATCTCACAGAGACCAACTCTTGATATTTTCCACATGATCAGAGAAAGATGCTGCTGGAAAAGAAGAATAACTCTACCAACAATAAATCTGATAATCCAATTACATCTTCAGAGGATTTAATCTTGTCCTTCTGAAATACTGACACAGGATCATTGGATGATATTGTTCTATGTCAACACATTGACCTTCTCCTTATCGTATCACCACATTTCAGTCAGTCCTCTTTTTCTATAAGAAATGAACACTCAACCCACGACCCACACCAAAATACCACACCAGTCCCCAGCTCTGAGTCTTGACTCTTTGAAGAGAGTGCAACCTGATGAAAAGAGCACAGCTTTATTCAAAGGCTTGTGCATGACAAGGAGGCCAGATGGCAATTTCTCACATCAGATCCCGCAGCACAACAGCCAATACTGAGGGGGACACAAGCAGAACACTGTGTCCCGGCAGCAGACCCTCGGGCCACAAAATCAACTTTGTAAAGAGGACGGTGACACAGTGGCATGCTATGATCAGGTCTAAAAAGCTTATGTTGAGAAAATACACCAGTTCCAGCTTTAATAGATCAAGTTATCAGCAGGATGCAAGTCCCCTTTCAAGATGACGCCATTTCCATAACGCTGATGAACTGGCGTTCCTTCCCATCGCACAGGGGCAGTAAACTCCCCCCCTGCACTGCTCTGTGTTGGTTAAAATTCCTTTCTTTTTTTTTTCAATCACACCCTTATCAGAGACAAACAAAATAAAAAACATCAGCTGTGACATCACAGATTGAGGCGTGGTCACATCAGCAGAATAACTAAAAAGTTTCCACTCCAAGAGACAGATGCAGCAGCAAGTTTTCAGTGTGGAGTTACCAGTTTTACAATTTCCCATCGCTGCCAGAGAGACATAAAAGCAGGCAGCTGCTCATGAAAACAGCCTGTTGAGGACATGACAGCAGCCAAGAGGACGACATGTGGGGAATCTATAAACTTTAGATCCAGTCAGGAGTGAGGGATTCTGGTCACACTTCAATTTTATTGACAACCTCACCCTCCGTGTAGTGATGCAACTTGGTGTCAACTGACGACTATCCACTCATGTCAACCTTCACATTGATGATACTGTAAAGTGCAGCAGCAAACAAACGCAGAAGATGCTAAAAATCATCAGAGCAGTTCATCTATTAGGTCATTATTAAGACATTAATTAGCAACTGCTTTTGGTCCCCCAGCTCTATCTGATCCTCGTGTAAATGGCACCAAGTTATGCAACAACAAAACAAACGAGTGTCAAAATCTGTCCCTGTGATGTAAATAATACGAAAAATATTACTATGGATCAATAAGACATGCCTGAACCTCCTGAGAGAGAAATCAATGGGTAAAACGACTGTGCAGTGCTATGGACTGTTCAAGAGAGGCACACAGGTGCTTGAAAACGCAGTCAAGTGGGCGCAAAGGCGATCCATCAAACCATCACGGCAAACCAGGAGTCAAACGTTCTCCAAACTGAGAAAAGAGACGGGAGCGTCCCACAGAAGTGCCACCTCTCTGCACACATCCCCAGCTGCTTCCTGCAGCAACAGACCCTTTCCATTTCTCTCTGTCTCTCCCATGCTGATTCTTACCCATACTGGTGGCTGTGATTGTACTCAGCAGGATACTGCAGCACAACAGGCTCCCTCACTGGACTCTCCATCACGTCCAACGTCCCGTCCCTCAGGTACGGGTTCCCCGGCAAGTCTCCGTTTACCTCTGAGTGCGTCCCCGGCGGCAGCATGCCAGAGGGCTCCGCCGTCTGGGGATCGGGCTCTGTGACCTCCTCCTCCATCAGACTCTTAGATGCAGTGGTGCCTCCAGCAGCAGCAGCAGCAGCAGCAGACTGCCTGTCCACAAACCACTGAGCCCGGCTGCCTCCACAGTTTGGGCTTGTCCCAGAGCAGCAGCATCGGTTCCCAGAAACCCCTTGTTTAATATTTGAGCAGTGAGAGCAGCAGGTACGACAGCTCCTCTCACGCTCCACTCCTTGGCTCCTCACTCCCTCCCTCCCTCCCTCCCTCCTTCCCTCTCTCTCTCTCTCCCTCCCTCCCTCTCTCTCACTCTCTGACTCCCTCTCTCCCCCTTTGCTCTCTCACTCACTCTCCAGTGCAAACATTCCTCCACATGGGGAGACAGAGTGGAGGGCTCATTAGTGAGTCCCAATGACAGACTCAGCCCTGCCTGCCTGCAGCTGTGCTCACAAAATACACAGGGAGAGGCTAGAGAGAGAGAGAGAGAGAGAGAGAGAGAGAGAGAGAGAGAGGGAGGGAGGGAGAGAGAGGCAGACAGAGATAGAATGAGAAAAAGAGACAGAGTGCAGACAGACTAAAAAAAAGGAGTGGGAACCAAACAGAAGCTGACAAAGATGAAGACGGGGAGGACGCAGGAAGCAAGACTGACAGCTGAGGTGAAAGAACAAGAGACTGTTTGTGAATGTGTGTGTGCAGCAGGAACACACACACACTCATACAAACACACACACACACACACACACAGCCTTCATCTCCTTGTGGATTTTGCTTACAGTGCGCTCTGCAGGTCAACACGGGGATGCTCAGAAGGAACGTCACACAGGGAGCGACACATGTGCCATGACAGCGTGCGCCACCGTGTGGAGCAAGGAGCGCGCGTTGGACGCTGCGCAAACGACAGGCTGGTGATGGTGATGGTGGGTGGAGGGCGGCCGGCGTCCCGGCGGGGGTCCACAGTGAGAGCTCTGCTGAGCCCCCGTCACAGCTCCAGTACATCTCACACACACACACACACGCGCGCGCGCGCACGCGCACACGCACTTCCTGCGAGCTGCGTGTGACAGAAACTACATCCACGCAACGGCCACCATCATCACCAGCAGGCGTTAATGTCTGCATCTGATTAAAAGACATTCTGCCTCAGATCTCGTGTTGTCTCATGACTGAGTGATGTCGCTTTACAGTGAACACACAGGCTTATGTCTGACTCTCAAAACAACAACTCCAGCTGATAATGCGGGAGATTTCCAGACTTGTTACAAAAAAAAAAATTGGAAAAGTCAAATATTCATTTGGTTCATTCTCAAGCCTCTTCCTCACACATACTCCACAACACTCTGAGACATATACAACACACTGGAAACTGCAGCAGATGTTAATACGGACTCATCTGAGTGGACACCCGCAGGTCCTGCCCGATCCAAAACAACAGGTGTGGGCCTGCGGGGAGCTCCGATGCGAAAAACAACAGTACGTAAACAGGCTGTGGTAATGAGCTCCAGCCTGTTCGTTCCTCACTTGAAAGGTAATTTATTGTCTCATTTCTACAACTTACCGTTGAGTGTGTGAGGGTGATCAGTCAAATCCGTTAATCGATGCCCGCAGTAGGATCCAGTTTAGAGACTTGAGGTGGACTCAATCAGCCTCGTTGATCGATCCGTGTTGCTTTTTGCGTTATGAGTGAATTATTCCTTTATTTTTCAATGCACTTGTTTCTTCCCATCGTATGCAAAGATAAGAAGCTCACACTGGTTGTTATGGGGTTTTTTTCCTGATATGAAGTCCAGCAGCAGCAGCAGCAGCAGCAGCGCACCGAGCGTTCAACCGAGTTGCACTTTTCGCCAAACTCTCATCAATGTTTTAATTTCTTCTCTCGCTTCACGTCGCATGCGGTTATATTCACATTCACGCACGAGGGAGTCCAGTTAGCTCCGTTGACTCAAAGTACAAAAAAAACATCCATGAACTGAAGATCCACACACACTCACACACATACACACACACACATACAGGTGGAGAGCGTCGGTAAGATTGATGAGAGCAGCCCGGTGGCCAAAGGAGACGCTCCAAACCAAATCAATACGCAATCGAGCAGGAGGACGACGATTGGCTGCTTCTACACCTGTTTGCCTTCATCGGTTTGTTGTGTCGTTTTCTACCGGATAAACTACCCGCGCCGTTTAGTAACGTAATATTTACCTGGACAAACCTGCTCCATGACTGTCATTACGTTTCTTCCTCAGCTCTAAATTTAAAAGGTAACCTGTTTCAAATCAGCCAAAATAAGGCTGTATTTTCCGGTGATAACTTTCAAAATAATATCTTCACTGGTGAAATTATAAAGACAACATTTTCATATTGTTTTCACAATTATTTATTTTCTTTACAGTTGATTTAAAAGGCTTTTTCTTACATGTTTTGTTTTGATTCTTTTTCTCTTCATTCTCAGTTAGTTTTGTTTCTAGGATTTTATTTCCAAAGTTGAATCCTCCAGTTTCCGGTGCTTTCGTCATATCTGCTGGGCTTGACGAAATAATTAAGTAGCCTACTTTTTTTTTCCATCGAGATCTCTTGATATTCAGAGTCTTTCTGTTGCAATAACCTGTTTTCTGCTTGGAAGTAGATAAATAAAAAATCATAAACCTGTTGGGTGGGTGTTTGCGTCACAATTTTACTTACTCCAATTACAAAAATGTGTAGGCCTGCACTGTATCTAATCGGTTCTTTTCTGATTCTGTCAAAAGCCATGTGGGTGTAAGTTGTGGTGGAGGGGAAACAAAGAAAATAAATCTGTATGAAATTAAAATGTGTCTACTTTACTGACCACCATGTTGTTTAACATTGATTCAGATGAAAACTGTCTTATTCCCATGACCCATGTCCCACATCAGACTACTGAACACTGACTGTTGTCTACCAGAGCCAGAGACAAGAGGGATGAGTGGGACCAGCCACCTGCTCTGTGATGAATGACTGAATAAATCAGAGAGGTTTGCTCTGACAGTCTGCAGGTAAGTGATTCTCTTAGGATAAAAGGGCCTGTTTTGGTACAACAAGAGTTATATTCAGAATAGAGATGAGTCAAGACGTGGCACCTGTTCTCACAAGATGAAAAGTTGTTCTGGTTTGGAGACAGTGAAGAACACAGCTGGCAAAATGAAAACTGCTTTGTGCATGTGGAATTGTGAATAATGCAACACTTTCTGCATTCCTCTCAGTTATTCAGCCACTATTTGGACTAGACCAACCAAACTTTTATATATTAAACTCACATTCGTCTGCTAATTGCCCATGGTATTTGAAGATGATTACCTATGACAATAATTCACAAAATGCATTTGAATGGAAGAATTCAGATGTTGGCGCTGACCCCAACCCTGGGGACAGTTGCAGCACAGATCAGGCATGGTTGCAACATGTTAAAAAATACATTCAATTTCACTAATTCGCTGTAGCTTTTTTTCCTATATAAGCATAGTTTTACGAAAATATGCATTATTTTAATATTATATTATTTACTTTTACAATAATATTATGATTTTCTATATTTGTTTGATAATATTTTTCAAGGAACAGGCAAATATAAGACCCTGAGAGAAACAAGTCATTTCCAGAATAACGTAATAATGTATTCTCTTATGCATAGATATTATTGTTGCATTTGTTGTGCTCTGGGACAAAATTAGCTGCATACATTTCCTATTTTGAAATAAAAATGTTGAAAAATAATGTTGTGTGGTTTCTGTTTTGATATGGCTAGGTAGACACAGTGACCTTTACACATGCTAACCCTGTCAACAAAACAATGATCCAAACTAAGTGAGTTTTTATTCACTCAAACAAAATTGTCGGGACAGTTTGACGAATAAAATACTTTCATACCTCCAAAACAATTTTTTTTTTTCAATCAATACAGCAGCAGATGTTGAATGTGTTGTTGTCTTCCTGGTCAGTGAGGGTCTGGCTGACCATGTGCAGTATGAGTGTCATCACCATCCCCAGTCTCCCCTACCTATGGTTGTTATGGATGAGTGCACGTGACAGGACAACCTGGAGCCAACCCAGAAGAGTCTCTAAGGACGACTGAAAGAACCAGGTGATCCCTAAAGCTGAAGGAAGTTGTTGGAAAATAAGAAGTCACTGTGGCTGTGTTCACCCTCCTGCCACTGTGCTGTCACCCTGACCTAAATAAGAACCAAACAGACACATTGACAGGTGGTTCTGCTCTTGCCAACAAACATATCACAGTTCCCATGATTTAGCATTTACTGATCATGCTCCTGAAATTTGTTCACATTGAGGAAAGTACCTGTTAGGTTGAGGATCTATAACTCCTTCATGTAAATAAATTGCTGTTTAGCATAAAGTATATAGTGATTAAACAGTTAATGAAAGGTTTTACACTGACCAACTGATCAATAAGCAAATTTGGTTGAAAGATTTTTACATAAAATCAGCATTTCAGTGACTGTATTTCACTGTGTAGCAAAGGCCAGCTTCACTGAAACACTGTCAGTGAAATGCTGTTGGTTATATGCAGAGTACAAGTCTAAAAAATGTTCACTTTTCAAGCAGTTTTCACCTGCACATCTAGACATCTTTTGACCTGCTACTCAACTCTTTAACACACAGAGGAATGATTGCTTATCTCCAAAGGTGCAGCCAAAACGTTGAAATAAAAAAAAGTCTTGAAAAAGTAAGAAGAAGAAGAACGACTGAAAGAGATTTGCAGGCTAAATACCTGTTAGAAGCCGGTGGTTGATTTCTCCTGAAGGCTACAAGGTTGATGTCAGAGCACTTTTCTGCACACCCACTCTCCTTCTTTATTCCTATTCCTGTCACTTTAATCAAGATGAATGCATATGTCAAACAGGGTATTGTAAGTTTAACGATGGTAATCTAAATTCAGGGTAATGTGCCCACTATGAACGCCAGACTACAAAAAAAAAAAGACCCTGCCAAAATGCCACCCACATTTTCACTGTCATGGTTACAACCATTATTTTTCATATTTTGAGGCATTTAGAGGGTTCTCACCCGGCGTGACTTAGTGTGAGTCAGCAGGTAGGAGTCAGACGTCTCCGGCATGGATACAATATGTGGTTGTGACCCTTTGGTTATTGTATAGTC